ATATACATTTATACACATACTTAATGTTACCAAAAAATTATTTGTATATTTTTGCAAATATAGCCTAGTCAAATTTCACTGCAATAAATGCATGTGAACCTTTATAGCTTCAACTTTATGGAGAAAACATTCTGGAAAATTGGGTGATTTTGTATGTGTTTTGTATGTTGAACAATATAGTCAAACGTGGTAATGTAAATTTTTACTTGACTAAAATAGTATATTCAAATAATTGAGATAACAATTTTAGGGCATACTTTTCTATGCCGATCTTTCCATGATTACACACAGCCTTAAATAACATGAAGATGCCAAGACTAAGATTCCAATTTTTTTGGCGTATACTTACATATGGTAATATTTATTGAAATTATAGAACTCACACAACTCAAGTAAGATTAAAAATTATCTTACTAGCAACATTTTCAAAAGACTGAAGGATTATAATCTCAATACAGGAATGATAAAATATTACCTAGTTTGCATTTTGAAAATTTTATTGAAAACCAAAAGTTAATGGAATCAAGAAGTTAATACCTTACAAAGAGTTATATTAGTTAATATTGAAAACAAGACTTTCTGGTTTCTAGCTTATATTGTTAAACTTTATACTTTCTGTGTGTTTTCATTTATTGGGAAATAGAGAAATGCCACATTAAAATTGGAGCTAAAATTTTCATAGATGCATATAAAAATAAAAGTAATATAATAAGAATGATAACAACTTTTGGATTTTTAAGGGTTTTAAACTCTTCTCCCCCCAAAAGAAAACTCTAAACACTGAATATCTGATTATATTTTAAGTTAAGTTTATTTATTTTATTTACACTACTTTTAATGCCTGATAAAACAGAAAAAAATACGTAACTATTGTGTACTCTCAAGTAGGAATTATTCATTCTACCTTTTCAAAATATTTAAGAAAAAGGATGAGTGAACTAAACAATCCAGAATGCACACAGTAAGAAAGGGATATTTCTTTCCTACTTAAGATACCAGAATACCTATAAGTAGAGATGTATATATAGTTTATGGAAACTAATGCATATACTAATTAAACAGCTGTCTTAGAATAAAAATCATAGTAAGATAGCTCCAAAATTATAAATGCCAAAATAAATTGTTCACACACTTTGTATTTGTTACTGAAATCATTAATAAGCTAGAGTATGAAATTTTGAAGATCATGATTTTGGGAACTTATCTGAATAAGTCCCTGTAGTGAAGATCTTGTACTAGAGCGAAGGGGGAATTAAGGTATACAGTGGATAATGTTGCTATTAAAGATGGATTCTCCTTTCACCTTTTTATTCTGCAATATTGAGTTTATTGTTTACATTATGATACGTTAGTCCTCTACACTTCAATATCATTTTTATATATTTGGATTGGCTCTAGGTATTTACCATATGCTTAATTCCCTGTTATTGAAAAGGCCATGTACATCTATCAAAAGGATTTTATCTTCCTAGCATAAAGACTTTAAAGTCAACCCAAATGTGAATCGTTTGAAATTGATTTGTAAAACACTGAGTAAGAATGTATTCCTTTTCAAAATTTATTTTAGTAGATCTTATTCTGCTGGCTCAATGTATTTCCTTCTATGGGAGCATATTAAAATGACTTGTAGTAGTGCTACAAAAAATGTGAAAACACAGATGTTCAAACAAAACTGGGAAGTCGCCCATCAGTGACAAGTCCCCAGACTCCTCCTCTCTTTCCAACAAGGCCTTCGTTGAAAACACCTGTTGAGAAGTCACCCTGAGACTTAGCACTTAATTCTTGATAAATCACGATAAGCAGTTATTCTTAAGAACTAGTAATCTCTTTACTTGACTTTAGATTTCATATTAACACATAAAATAATTCACATGAAAATTGCTCCTATAAAAAGTCCCCTTATAAATTTATGCAACAGTCTATTTGCCTTATGTACTACAAAACCTGTGCTCCTATTCTTCAAAATCAGTTTTATACGTTTAAAAAGAATTAAATATTTAATTATGACTGTGTTTTATTATGAGTCACACTATTGTGGTTATTTAGTTGCTAATCTATTGTTTAAACACGTTATACTTTAATTTTTCCGAGGAACTTGAAAAACACCTGAAATCAAATCTCTTCTCACAAGTACCACTGTTTCTGTATCAACTTATATGAATGCTTAGCATCCATACTCAGTAAAAGTACTCCTACGCCCAAGGAGAACCTACAGGCATTAACCTTTACATTTTAGGCCCTTTGACTCACACAAAATGCTTTGATACTTAAATCTTAATTTTAGCTATAATATGAGCTTCATAAATCATAAAGTTCCTAAATTTCATATCACCACACTGTACCAGTGTATCTCAACACAATTATGAAAGTATTTTCATTCCATCAATAGAATACATTATACTTACAAACAGAACACAGATGCTATAAAATAAAGATGAACCAGACACCTAGTAGCAGTTAGGCCAAGTACACTCTGTGGATTAAAATTCTACCTTCAGAAACACACATGAGATTAATAGTGTGTTTCCTTAGGAAGCTGTATTACATATACACACTAATAAAAACACCTGAAACAAGATTATGGGATACCTAAATGCTTTAATTTAAGCATGTCACTTTAGCACAGTGTGTTTGTGACACTCCAGTTAAAAAAAAAAAAAAAAAAAGACAGTTCCTGTAGTTAATTTACTCTGCTCTCCATAATTAATACTGAGATAAACCTGATATATTTGAAAGAGAATTAACATATTAAGAACTTACAAAGCATCCTTTAGAGGATTACAAAAATTGAATAGAAAAAAAAATCGTTTAAACAATGCATGTTGAGGATATTCCTAGGGCAGAAGTAATATGGGAAAATGAGCTACGGTGAAAACATTTCAAGGACTTAAAACAAAAACATAGTTTGTTTCTTTATGGCATGAATTAAGAATCTAGAGGAAAGGCAATGTAAAAAAAAAGTTTTCCCTTTGCATTGTGTGTGTGTGCACGCACATGTGTATTTGCTTTGACTTGAAATTTACTGTCAATGAGAGGAATAATTATCTTATTCCTCCTTAAGCAATGACCAACTTCAAGAACAGCATGGTGCAATATACTACAGGTATCACTATCTCTCAAAACCACTGGATATTTCAATCCAAGATTGTTTCTCACTAGTCTAACCAAGGAATCAGGCTTGTTGAAAATTCTGCACCACCTTCGTTTTTACTGGAAACTAAATGAAAATTCAACTCACAGTACTTTAAATAGAAGACTAAGCATTAACCCTCTGTGACATCTTTCTAATTGCCAATGGTAAAATTGTAATTGAAATGTATTTAACATATGTGTATTTATAAAATGACTGTAGCAAATCTGTAAATACGTGTTTTAACATCTCCTTCTAAATACATATTGACTGTCATAAATACCAGTTTTACACAGTCACAGAAAGACTTTCATAGAAACCACATTTTTAAGTGGATACTTTCTTTTTAAGTTTTATATAGACATTAAAAAATTATGATTACCAATGTACAGTAAACACTATTTGAAGATTAAATACTATAATTGATATTTTAATATTTAATAGTGTCAAGTGTGAGATTGTTTTACAAGGACATTATACTATTACAGAAAAATATATTTTGCTAAGTATTAATATTTGGTATACCTATTATGTTAGAAAGAATAAGATTATGAAATTTTACTGCTCCATTTTAAGAATAAAAACATTATTGAGTCAAGTGTCATCAAAAGTTATTTGCTTTTCAAAGCATAAAATTATGAACAAATTATTTTCACTTGCCCCAAACTAATCTTCCTCTCGAGGTGTCACTTTCAGTTAAACTCAATTTTGAATTCCACATACTGCTCATCCAGAGTAATTTGTTGCAACATACAATTACAATAACAAAGAATTAAATTTTTCTGTGACACAACTCAATAGTGGGTGAAAGAAACAAGACAATGACTAGACATAGTATAGTCACCTGCTGCTGTTAGAATCTATGTCCAGGCTGAGTCAGTCATTTAGTTTTGTGATATTATCAATAACTTTGAATCATACTATCTAATATATATATATATATATTAAATATCACTTAGATATATAAAATACACACTATGCAAACTAAATGCACCCTGAATTCATTTTGGCACATCAAGTGCCTTCAGTGTAACTTTGCCTCCTTTTCACAGTAGCACAAAATGAGCCTCTGGTCCTCTGCTATATTCCTTTCATTCCTCAGTGACTCCAAGAAACAGATCACGAAAACCACGGGACAAAACAAATATAAACTTTTCATAGATAGTTACTAGTCATTATGTAGAGTCTGCATGTTTTCAAACTTTTCAAAGTGCTTCAGAGTATAACTCACATTTCAAAAGCTTAAGCTGTATTAATGCATTATGCTGTAGTTTTTAGCATAATGGAACGATGAAGAGTAGGTGAGATTCATATTCTTTAAAGTACCTTTAAAATATAAAACTGACTTTTTAAGGGGTGAAAAGTTAGTTCAAATTGAATGAACTCTGAAATTCTGACTGGTTGTTATTCTGTACTTACAGAAGTTAACTTCTTAATATTTGAGTATAAGTTTCTTTCATTTTTGGCATCATTTACAAAAACAGAATTAAAATATTTTCAAGATAATTAACTAAAACTTTTTTCCGCTCTGGGAGTTCTTTTTTATGAAAAGAAATATAAACCAACAAATAAAAATAAGTAAAATAATCTATTATTATTGAACATTGCTAACATTTTTAAACCTATAAAAATAAATTTTAAAATGAAATAGGAGTAAGACATTTACATTTTGTAGAGTTTAGACTCTTTACATGGGAGGGGTTATGTGTAGAATGTGATATATACGCAGTGTCAAAAGTGTAAACCTTTTTCATTTAATTTTTTTTCACCTCTCACTGGTGCTGGTAGAGTGGCTTGCCCTGTTCCAAAGGTTTCAGGACAGCTCCAAAAAAAATAAAGTTAACTCCCAGTTATGCTAAAAGTCTCCTACCTGAATTATGGACATCCGAGTGGCAGGGGTCTCGCTTGCATTATTCCCTTGTCCGGTGAAGCTGGTGTGGCAGCCCGCGTGCCCCTGAGGGACAGTCAGGTTGTTGGAGGCCGGTTTGAGATACATCACCTCCGACCGGGGCGAGCTGAGGGGCAGGCGGGTCTGGTAGTCGAAGTACATGGGGGAGGTGGCCAGGGAGGGGCTGCTCACCACGTTCATGACGTTCATGGCGTTCCTCTCCTCCACTTCACTCTGCACCAGCATGATATCATTTTTGTTGATCTTCTTCTTCTTGCCCTTGCCCCCGCCCAGCTGCGGGTGGCTGTACTCCGCGATGCGGCAGTTGTAAGTGCGGATCTCCTTGTTCTCGCGCTTGCACTTGACGGCGATGGTGATCATGGCCGCTAGGAGGATGATGGAGATAGTGCTCAGAGTCACGATGAGCGGCAGCGACATGTCCCAATGGTGCTGCTCGCCATTCACCCGTGGCACCCCCTCGGGAAGGGATCCGCTCACCGAGCGGATGATGAGCTTGGCCACTGCAGACAGAGTGGGCTTGCCGTGGTCGGTCACCTTCACCACCAGCTCCACCACGGGCGTCACGTCCTCCCAGAAGGGGTGCAGCGTGCGGATCTCGCCGCTGGACGGGTCAATCTCAAACAGGTGGTCGTCGTTGCCGTCCACGATCTCGTAGGTGAGGCGCCCGCTCTCACCGAAGTCGCTGTCTAGGGCGCGCACAGTGCTCACTAGATAGCCCAGGCCAGCGTTGCGCGGCACCTGCAGCTCCGCGGTGTCGTTCTGCAGCGTGGGGAGCACGATCACTGGCGCGTTGTCATTCACGTCTAGCACTGTCACCCTCACCGTGGCGTTGCTCTCCAAGTGCGCGGGCGCCCCGGAGTCCTTAGCAAGCACCTTGAACTCAAAAGCCTTGGTCTGCTCGAAGTTGAAGGAGCGCAGGGCGTAGATGGCCCCGTTCGTGGGATTCACAGACACATAGGTGTAGATAGACACGTCGCCGATGTGCGAGGGCAGGATAGAGTAGGATACGGTGCCATTCTGGCCCAGATCGGGGTCCTGGGCTAGCACAGAGCCCAGGTACTCTCCTGGGATGTTGTTTTCATGCACCTGAAGCACGTAGAGTCCTTTGGTGAACCGAGGCGGGTTGTCGTTCTCGTCTAGAATCTTGACCGCGAACGACTTGGTGGAGTTGAGGGGAGGAGAGCCCCCGTCCCGCGCCACGATGGTCACGTTGTACTCGTCTTGTGTCTCGCGGTCCAGCGGGCGGTCAGTCACCACCGTGTAGAAGTTGTCGTAGTTCTCCTCGAGCTTGAAGGGGACAGAACCCCCGGGCCCGCCCAGGCCCCCGCCGCCGCCCGTCCCTCCTCCGCCCAGGACACGACACTGCAGCTGCCCGTTCTTGCCGGAGTCCCGGTCAGTGACCCGCACCAGGGCGATGACGGTGCCGGGAGGGGCGGCCTCGCTCAGCGCCCCCTGGCGCACGGAGACGAAACCGATGGACGGCGCGTTGTCGTTGCGGTCGATGAGCTTCACCGTGACTTTGCAGTGGGCTGGGATGGGGTTAGGCCCCAGGTCTCGGGCCTGCACGTCAATCTCCAGCATCCCGTTTTCCTCATAGTCCAGGTTGCCCTTCACACGGATTAGGCCGGTCTTGGGGTCGATGGAGAAGAGTTCCCGCACGCGGTCGGGCACGTAGCTGCTGAAAGAGTAGAGCACTTCGCCATTTGGACCCTCATCCGCGTCTGTGGCGTTCAGATCGATGACTACGGTGCCCAGCGGAGCGTTCTCGGGCAGTTCCACCAAGTAGGATGGCGCCTCGAAGACCGGGCTGTTGTCGTTGGAGTCAATCACCTTCACGTTAATCTGTATGGTGGCGGAACGTGGAGGCTCGCCACCGTCCAGAGCAGTCAGCACGAGCGTATGGTGATTCTGTTGCTCTCGGTCCAGAGCCTTCTGGATGACCAGCTCTGGGAACTTGGTGCCGTCGCCGCGGGACTTAACGTCCAGTCCAAAGAGGCCGTGGTCATCGCGCGTAAGCAGGTAGGTGCGGAGCCCATTTTCGCCGGCGTCAGGGTCATGTGCGCTGGTGAGGGGGAAGCGGGTACCTGGAGCAGCATTCTCCGAGATGTCCATTTCGATCTGGTCCGAGGAGAAGGAGGGCGCGTTGTCGTTGATGTCCTGGATCTCTACCTTGATCATGCAGATCTCCTTGTCGTTAGCGAACACCTCGAGGGACAGCTGGCACTTGGCATTGTGGCGGCACAGGGACTCGCGGTCGATGCGCTGCTTGGTGTAGAGGAGCCCGCTGTCTGCGTCCACGTCCAGCAGGTGCGGTGCCGAGTTCTCCAGCACCCGGTAGCTACCCGACTTGCTGCGCCCTCCGCCGCCGCGCTCTGCCGGCGGAAGCCCAGACTGCAGTCGAGCATCCCTGCCGATGTTCCCGATCACCGTGCCGGCCCCTTGCTCCTCCGGCACGGAGTAGTTGAGGTTCTTGAGAGTGAGGGCAGGGGCCCATAGAAGAAAGCAGCAACAGATGGAAAGGTACATCCCAGACCTGTAAGGTGGGGCCAGGAGCAGCCGGACTGGAGGGGCCAGCGAGGCAGTGTGCGCCAGCCCGGGGCCCTGGCGCAGCGTGCGCGCGCGACGCGAGCCACAAGTCTATGGGTCCTTTTTTCCCTCTGCACCCGAGCTGCGGCACCCGGTGGTCTCTCCTTATTCCGCTCAAGTTCCCTGAACCTGTTGATCTACAGCATCCGCACTGGGTGAGAAGCTGCGGTGCAGCAGAGCTGCAGGGGCTTGGAGCAAGGCGGCGGCTTCCTGCGGCTGGGGGCGAGCCAGGGGTTTCGTCTCTCCCGCCTGGACTTCGGGAGGCTCAAACTTGAGCGATGAGGCAGGCGATAAGAAGGAAATCTCGTCTGGGAGAGATGATAATGAGCTAAAGAGTCAGTAGGTTTTCCTCGCTCCCGCTAGGGTGCTGCAAATCTACTCCCGCCCAGAGCCTCCGGAATACTCTTCACATCGAGTGGGGGTGGGAGCAGGGAGGTGTGTCTCTAGGCAGATCCGAAAGTGAAATTCTTACTTGCTGCTCGCTTCCCTTGACGAAATTGATAGGGATGAAGAGCAACGAAGACAGAGTCACAGATATATTTTGAAGCTTCCCCAGCGCACCGTGGAATATCTGCTTGCTGCGCGGGCTGGTCTGTTTTCAGGCAGTGTTTTGCTGCATTTAGAGATCTAATCTTGCATTGCTGGCTAAGGCAGAGGCGGCGGCGGACTGCATCTCCCAGCCAAGCGTAATTTTTTTCCTCTCTCTCCTTTCCGAGCAGCCAAAGGGAGGGGAGGAAATGCAGCGTAAAGAACTAGTGTCCCGATTTGTAGTTTCCTCTCTCCACCAGGCTCCTCCCTCTCTTCCTCGGAAAAGGCTCTCCCCCGAAATCAAGAAAGCCACAGCCTGATCAGCAATTGCTGTGTGTGTCTATTGGGAGGGGGAAATAGATAAATCTTCGCCTCTGTTCGTAGAACACACTCTCTGATTTCTCTACGCCAAGCCAGTAGCCTCCGCTACCATCCCATCCTCTCCCCGCGAGCAAAGACTTCTCTCCAAGCAGTTTAATTCCAGTTTGCTTTTCTTCCCAGGCGAAGGGAAATCAACAGGCAACTCATGGTTGGACGTGCAGATTCAAAGGGGGAGGGGGAGGCCGAATAAAAAGGAAAGGGGAGCCTCCCTCCCAGTCCTCACACACACACTCTCCCTGTCTCTCGCTAGAAGGGAAACAGTCTCTGCATTCACAGGGCTGGGCTGTCAAGTGCCTCTCTTTTCTTTCTATTCAGCATCTCCTTCCAATAGCCCTGCCTCCCAGTCCTCTTCATCTAGAAAAGAAAACCTTGGCGAGGAATAAAAGTGATGAATATTTGAAGCAAATAAAGTACGGGTTTTTTTCCCCCTTCAATTTTCTCTTATAGTAGGAGGAGTGGGCTGGATGAAAGCAACACATCAAGGTTTGGCGTGATGCATTCTGCAGTCTCGCTCTCAGTCTTTCTGGGCGACTCAGGGAGGGCAGGGGGTGCAGAGCTGCGGCCGCGGAGGTCCAGCCAGGGGCGCCTACCCCGGGGAGGTCCCTCTGAGGGGATGTTAGACACAGGTCTGTGTATACATTATTTCGGGTTCTGGAGGCGCCTCGACATACGGGAATGACACATTCAGAAATGCAGGTGTTCCGATCTGCCGGATGAGTCAGAAGCAGCGGAACGAATCGTATTCACTCTCGACTCAGGGTCCTCCCTTCACAGACATTAGTTGCAGCTTCTTCTAACGCTTTTTCTGACTCAGTCTATAGAAAGAAAAACCAGATTCATGTTTTGGGGGAAAAGAAAATGCAAGAGAAAGGGATGGAGGGAGGAAGGTGAAGCTGAATCTAGCAGCACTTTTACTCTACCTCTTTCTGCCGGAGTCCGAGGTTCTGGAAAACAAGGCGTCTGCTTTGCTAGGTGTATTGGTTTATTTATTTTGTTTATTTTTTTTTAAACCTTTCCTCTTGGTTAGGCGAGAAGCACTCCGAAATTTTTCAGAGTCTTGGAAAAGGAAAAACGAAATCGGGTTTCCAGTAATTGTTCCCAGCTTAGCCTCGCATCATAGTTCAAGATTTTCCTCTCAATTTTCTCTATTCACAAAAGTCCAACATCCGTGTGTCTAGTTAATTATGCAGTCTGTTGTGGAGGGCTTTTTTTTTTTTTTTTTTTTTTTAATTCCTCCTTTTCTGTCACGGGTGGTCTCTTTCAGTCTGGTGTCGGGATCACCCCACAGTCTGAGAAAGATGTGCGGATTTCAAAGCAAATAAATCCATCTCCGCAAGCACAGCAGCGGATGAAAGGAAAGGTGAAAATTCAATTCAACAGTTGGAGTAGCGTCTCCCCAGCCGCCCTCCGCTGCTGCCGCATCCGCCAGGTTTGCGATTCCTGCTCTCTCCCCAGCGTCTCTTGCTGACTGACTCTATTCACCTCACGCCGCCGCTTAAACATTGATACTGATTCCCTGCCAGCCAATCCGAGCGAGGAGCAAGGCCCTGCCTTCTCGGCCCGCGTCCAATGGGAGGCGGAGAAGAGGTTGGAGGGGGCGGGGCCAGGAGCCCCAGCTCTTAGGAGTCATTGATTAGATCAGTTAGATGGGGAACCAGTCCGGTTGGCTGAGCCCAGCGCTCCGCTGAGGCAGACGCGCCCCAGGATTCGCCAGCGGGTCTCCGGCACCTTTAACTACCGGGAGTAGCTCTTCCACCGCCTTCCTTCGGAAAAGAGAATTTATAAAAAAAAGTTTAACAGCGATTTAGATTTTTTGTGGTTCTACATACACGTGATCGGGAATCGCAGCATGCTTGTAGAATAAGGTAGCTGCGGTCTGCCTAGTGGGTTTCTCTACACACACTCTCACACACGCACGCACACACGCCCTCGCCGCACATACGCCCATGCCAAGGGAAGCTCAGCCTTGACTCCGCGTGGACCCATGTGAATGAGGTGCGGAGGCGTGTAAGTGGGTGTGTGTGAGCGCGTTTCCACGGGCTGAGATGTGTATTTCTGTGAGTGTGTGTGAATTCGAGGGCGCTCGTGAGCCCGTTTCTGCCCGCACTGGTACGAACACGCCGCGAGCAACAGCAATCAATATGTAACTTCCTTCATCCTCTGAGAAAAATCAGCTGTCCCCAGGCACCCATGCAAGGAAAGTCACTTAATTATGAAAGTGTTTCAGAAGAAAAGCAGACGCCCATTGAAAGAGAAGCTATGTCTCTTAAGAGGAATAGAGCCTCTCCTTTAAGGAGAAAGGCTCACTGTCAATACAAGCTTTGTAAACTCAAATCTGGCTGAATACTACTTACGGTTCTACCCTTTTTGGTCATTCTTCCCAACCATCTCAGCCCAGGTTCAAGGTAAAGTGGATACCCACCCCCCTACCCCCGACACACACACACACACACACACACACACACAAACTAGTTGTGGTGTTTTGTTCACCTCCATTCTTGTTATTAAATTGTCACATTGCAATTTGATTGTTTCTCCATAAGATCAAATAGCCATTGATAACCGCATTTGCCAAAGCTCCATGAAAACAAAAGTATAAAACATGAAGGCCAGTCATTAGGATATCTAAGATTCCTGTTTTGTAAGCCATAACACACACATATATACACACATACACTACAACACCACCACATACAATATACACAAACACACATACACATACCGACTTCTGATTCATCTATTTATTCATTTACTAATCTCACAGACGGTTTCTTCCCTAACTATTATCATAAACATCTGCAACTGGAGCCTGGTTTGCTCGTGATCCAGCCGTTCTGAGAAAGAGTTAAGAACAAAAAAGAAAATTGAAGTATTGAAATAGAAAAGGTGAGTGTTTTGATTGCTAGAGTATTGATCGCAATTCATAAATACTGAAGTTAAGTTGCCCTTTATAAATTGTGAATGACTAACATACAAGTATGTAACATGAATCATTCAGCCTTCAAAGGAAATCAAATCCAAACCAATTACAAGAAAGTTCTGAAGACTGTTGTTGGGATAATTACTTAAAGATTCAGGTATAGGAGCTATTTATTTCCTGGAGTATTCAATGAGATAACCTGTAGTCTGGATTTGCAGTCTGATCTGTATCCAAAATTCGTCACTCCCTTAAGAGACTCTAACAGTTTAAAATTTCAGAGAGAAGCTACTTACAGCCAGACTTTTAAATCCTAAAGTGTCTTTGTATTTTCTGAACAGGTAGTTTGTCACGCATATACTACTGTTGAATGGTAGAGCTAGAGCTTTGTAGAGATCTAGATTGTTTTCCTGAGTGAGTATTTAACCATGCTGCCTTGGGAAATGCCCGTTTTATGTCTCTTTGGGGTTAATACCTCTGTCCCAAGGCACGTATTTTGGAAACTGAAAATCAGAGGCTTTAAGGCTTTAAAAACAGCAGCTAACTTAAATAAAGAATAGTGACTGCACATTCATTTATTAATAATTAATTTTTAAATACAACAAATCTATGTCTTTTTTGCATTACACACTAATTCAAAGAAAGTAATAAAATATCCTTGAGGTTTGTTTGCCACAAAGCAAAAACAAGAGAATGGGAAAAATTCCAAGGAAAGGGTATTATGATTTATCAATTAGCCTTAATGAGATGTGCTGGCAGGCAACCGAGAGTTGTTAGAAATGCAGTGTCCAAGAGACCCAGTGATATGAAAATACATCCTCATAAATTTGCTTATGACCCCTCCAGAGTAATTATGTCACATCGCCCCCTCGTGTATATAAAAAGAACTACCATGCTTTAGGTGAATACCACAGGGTATCTGACAGAAATGTATCACATATTTATGTTGTATTTAACCTGTATAATTCAATTTTATTGCTGAATACTGACGTATACCCAAAGCATTTAAGTTTTTTCCTTATGTCCCATACCTAGTTTATGGTCAAAGGGCGGGAAATTAACTGATATCTCATTTCCAATGGTTTGGCTTTCCTTTAACCACAATAACCACTCTTAATTTGTAACCATCTCTTAAGACTTGTATTTTTCCCCCAAAGAGTTTTTTTTGTTTACAATATAGTTATTGAGGAATGTATTCTTCACTGTGTTTAAAGTATTAAACTTAATTTTAAAAAGAGAGATAGTATAAATACTGCTACATCGTTCAGAAATATTTTTTTAACCCCATAGAAGGCTATAGACATAGAACCCCAAACTGAGGAATCTAAGAAGATTGTATATTGTGTATAAATAACTAAAGATACCTTCAGTCTCACATTTCTCAAGAAGAGACTGATTGATAGTTGTTATTTATAATTACAAATGATAGTCTTAACCTTAAACAGACATTATATCTTTTAATACACACACATTAAACATCTAAAGATCTGTGAGTTATTCAAGCTATATATGTGTGCATACTCATTGAAAAAAGTATTTGGAAAGACATATATATATATATAAATAACGTGTCTAATTAATAAAATATGCTAATCTAGGTGAGTTTTAAAGGTAAATTGATTGTTATGGTGAAATAGCTTCAAAAAGACAACTATTAAAACATTTTTATAGACTGATAAAAATGATTAGTACTGCTATAGTATTCCAATAATTGAATTAATAACCCTATTATTAAAGAATAATGTTAAAATACAATTTATGGACTTTTATGTAATATAACTTATTTAATTTTGCCTCAGAAAGACTCCTTAAGATATATATTTATTAGTTGTAGTTGTAGTGATGAGAGTTTCTGCATGCAGTCATAATAGCATCAGTTTTAACATTCTTCAGCCACTTGTCCTACTTGCTGTGTTCTTGAGTTCAGTAAAATACAGTTCTTGAGACATTTTTGATGCTGATGTTTTCAATGCAGTCATTGTTTATATGAATAAAAAGCCATTCTCTCCACAATTATTTTCTCTTTCTGTATCATTTTTACCATCATTTCACTGCCTGGTTTCATATATTTTTATTCATTAATGGAAAATGTTCAAAAGTAAATTTAATAGCTAAACTCTTTTAGATATAATATGTATCAAATATTTCCATGTCACATTTAAATTATCAAATTAATGATAGAAGTTCCTTCATGGCTAGTTCCCCTAGCTGCTCTTCTCTTTTAGAGATATATGTCGTTCACCTCTAATACACAGCCATCAACCATTTTATAACTTTTTTTTGTTTTGTTTTGTTTTTTGAGATGGAATCTCACTCTGTCACCCAGGCTGGAGCACAGTGGGGAGATCTCAGCTCACTGCAACCTCTGCCTCCCAGGTTGGAGAGATTCTTCTGCCTTAGCCTCCCAAGTAGGCTGGGATTACAGGCATGTGCCACCATGCCTGGCTAATTTTGTATTTTTAGTAGTGATGGGGTTTCTCCATGTTGGTCAGACTGATCTCGAACTCCTGACCTCAGGTGATCCGCCTGCCTCGGCCTCCCAAAGTGCTGGGATTACAGGCGCAAGCCATCGTGCCTGGCCCATTTTCTGACTTTTTAATAAAAGGTTTACCTTTTAACAAATGAGAAATCCACACTACTAACAGGACAATTGCTAAAACGTATCTTTCTCCTTGATGATAAACATGGACTGTATAAAAGCAATGTAATTTAACAAGAATTTTTAAAATTCTGGAAAAAAATTAATAATTTGTTTATAATTTTTAAAAATTTTAATTATTATTTATTTTTAAATTTTGTGAAAACTCAATCTTGCCTACAGAACAACACAATAAGAAAAAGTATAAAATATTTCTGTAAACAGACAACATTTTAAATTTAATATGGAACTTTTTCTGTTTTTATTACAATTGTGAAATGTTGCTATTAGAAAAAATATTTAGATCAGGAAATGTATTTTAATTTTCTTCAACATTATGTCTATGTTATAATATGTAATTATATGATGAGATTTACGTACCTGTTAATATGTGTTCTCCTTGCTAGTATAGGAAGTGTGTTGCCAAAGAACACTCAAAGTCACTTTGTAGGATTAACCCTATAAAGACAGGGAAGTTACATAGCATGAGATTAATTTGTAATTTCTGCAATAAATGACCTAAATTTACAACTTGTATTTATGTACTTTATGTATAATTTTAAGTTTGTAAGTCAGAAGTAAATATAAATTAGTAATCGATGACTCTTGAATAATGACACATATTTCAGGGCATATATTCTGAAGTACTGAGACATATTTAAAATTATTTTAAGACTTTTATATTTAAGTTTTAAAATTGAATGTCATTTAGTAAGGTCAAAAAAATTGTGTATGTATAGATAGACTTGACCCTGGATAAAAAAGAATTGTCTGACCAAAAAACATGTTACACTCTATCTGATGTATTAGCTAGTACATATTAAGAAGGGGAGTTAGATTACGTTGTGCAAGATGTAGTTCAGAGAAAAATTGTCTTGAGCTTCGTGAGTTTCAAGTGGCATATTTCCATTCTTTCCTGATTTGTCAGCCAGAATAAGATCAATTCATTACACAATGTCAATGCTCCTGCCCCATAAGAAGTTACATGCTAGCTCCCCCTTGTGGTCACTTTGACAATAGAGAGAGAGATTCAGGCATTAGGGAAATTTACTTCTTAGGAAAATTAGGTTTGTTTAATCTTTGTATACTACTTTTAAAAAACAAATGAAAAGCTTATGAATTAAATAGTTAATTTATAGATGTAACCTGTGGATTGTTAAAATAAAGTGGTTAAAGCTGGAAACAAAGATGATTTCATGCATGGTGCAGCAATCCCGTTATTTCTTAGAGTTAAGCATGTTAGGACAATTCTAAAGCTGGAGACCAGCCCTTGGAGGGAACCCGGGAAATTTGATTCAGTAGGTGGCACTCTTTCCTCAGAGTCAGTTTAGCAACAATGACCTAAAAAATGATGTTTCAAAAAGCTGTGTCACAGGAGGTCCTGCCTTTCAGGTGAGGCAAAAACCAAAAGCTTACAATAACTTATGGATATAACAAGCCATATGTTTCTTTCCATAATTCTGAGGTATTTAAACAGCCTATTGTATAGCTCTTGCCCAGAGATCAATGAGAAGAATATAGAAGTAAGCTGAGCTCTTCAGAAAGCAAATAAGTGCTCTACAAATTTCTGCATTTTAATTATCATCATAATCATTAACCCTCCCAAGTTTCAGCGACAAGGTCTTACTTGGATAATTACGTTCTGCTTATGTAAATTCCTCTTTTCAGCGAGCTAAGCATATTACTTTCTCTTATCTTTTAAAATTCGGAGCATTTCAGTAGAAAACCAAGCGCTGTTAAACAGCTATTGTCTGTCACCCTCAAAACAGCACACTCTTGTTTTAGGTAAAGCACCTTTGTTTCGTTTTTTTTCCCCCAAAAATATTCATAAACAAATATACATCTGATAAAATAATTTCTGTTCTTACTTGAGTGAAGTTTTTGAAATGATGTTAGATATTAAATAAAAGGAACCACTGGAATGAAACTTCTTGAAAATTACCATGACTGAATTGATTTTTGGAGCTACTGAAATGTAATCTATCTGTATACTCAGATTTTTAAAGAGTATTTGTAGCTTTCTCAGTCAGTGTCACTTTTTTCCCAGTGATAAGAGAAAAGATAAGAAGAATATGTCAGAAAAAGACCATAATCATTTACAAATCGACAATACTAAAACAGAAATAGAATGATTTATATAATATTTTAATTAAACATTGAAAGATTTAAGTGGAATTTTGGTAGTAAATAAGTGAGACATCTTAATTTCTTACCAAAAATGCTTATTGCAATATATGTTTGATATGTGATAATCATAAATGTAGTATTAGAAAAAAGGAATTTAGATTCTCAAGTACTTATTTAAATATTGGCCATCTTTTCTCAGAAAAATACAGATCAAATTCAGAAACATATTGGTTATAATAATTATACGAGTCAGGGTGATCCATTTTCCCCTCCGAATCATATACTCAGGGCATAAGACTCGAAGAAAGTCATAAAAGCAGACTAGTTTAAAATGTATTGTACTGTTCAGCTATTTACACAAATATAAATGAACAATATTCTGAAAGTATATCAATAAGGAATACTGCTAATTAAACTCCTTTGTTACAAAGATCCATTCAAGAATGCTACAAAACCTCTTTTCAATAAATTTGATGGTGATCTATAAATTCAATTTACACAAATATTTTCATGAACCCTTGTAGGAATTGTATATAGCTGACTAGCATACTCACTGTTTACAAACACTGAAGTAGCTCAGTTTCAAAAATTTTCAGGAATTAGCTTTAATCTGCTAATATTAAAATTTTAAGAAAAGTGAGATAAATTTGTGTAATACATTTCACAATATGATCATATTTTAATAGTTGAAAAATCTGTTTATAAAAACAGCTTCCTGAGCTTATGACCAGAAACTTCATTTACAACTGGAAGCTTGTAACTATTGTGGTTCAAGTGCATCTTACAACCAGGAGAGAATGAAAAGATTGTCCAGGGTGCGGTCTTTTCACTTTACTATTCAGGCTTAGCAGCAACAAATCCATTGAGATGTAGAGATCTTTCTCACTCTGACTGGTGAAAGATGGATGTTATAAGTCTATCTAGTTAGAGGTAAAGGGCACTACTGATGTGAACAGGCAAGAGCCGTAAGAGAAGGGCATGAAAATGGTGAAGATTTAAAAGTTTATTTTATGGCTCAGTCTTTTCAACAAATATAAATTAACAATATTCTAAGAGTGGTAACTAGATTTTTAAGTCATTCACCCTTCCAAGAATCTGCTGAATGCATTTGAATTTCAAATATATTTCCAATATATTTGCATATTAAAACATTATATTTCAAATATTATATACTTTTAAAAAGTTATTTATGAAGAAGCAAGCTACAAAATTGCTTATGATCCACGGACTCCAGATTAGAAGAAATGTAAGCACCTAAGAACTACCTAAGATTAAACACAGTTTAAAACCTTGTCCTAATTTTAAATTGAGTTAGTGGCATGTGCAGTTGTCACGTATTACTCCTTTGCCTCAAATCTTGCTAAATTGTCATTTAAAATATCACTAGAAAGTAAATGAATACAAACAAAATTGTGCATTACAATAGAAAGAATAACAGTGACATATCTGAATAACTAAGAGTGATTTATAGATACAGGTGAGATGGGACTACATTGAAGGGCATTTCTCAAGCCTTAACTCCCCAGAGTCACTTCTCTGGGAGTAAGAGGAAGAGACCCTGGAAGAATGTAAATATCATGTCTGTGAAGAGAAGAAGCACAAATAGTAGGCTGTGGAAAGTAGTGGTTGCAAATTTTATCAGTAGTTATAGGAAGTGAATCAGAAGTTTCAGCCCTCACTTTTGTCTGGATTTGATAAAAATCTGCAGTCTCTCAGGGAATCTGTCTTAACCCTCAAGGATCTCTCTGTGAAGATGAACAAGGGAAGTGTGTCATTATGAAAAATAGTACTATAAGTTAGAGTTTCAGGACCACATTAAGGAATCAAAGTATACATTCTCTAACAAAGTGGAATTAATGCAGAAACAGAAGAAAGTCTTTGTAAAAATTCTACATCAAGGTCTCAAAAAGATTTTTGGAAACAGTGAATCCATGAAACTTGAATAGGTGATCATGAAGAAAAAGCGACAATATTTAAATTTCATGACTGAGGTGCGGTGGCTCACCTGTAATCCCAGCACTTTGGGACGCCCAGGTGGGAGGATCACCTGAAATTAGGAGTTCGAGAGCAGCCTGGCCAACATGGGGAAATCCCGTCTCTACTAAAAATACAAAAATTAGGTGGACGTGGTGGTGGGTGCCTGTAATCCCAGTTACTTGGGAGGCTGAGGCAGGAGAATCACTTGAACCTGGGAGGTGGAGGTTGCAGTGAGCCGAGATCGTACCGTTGCGCTCCAGCCTGGGCAACAAGAATTAGACTCCATCTTAAAATA